GTGATGCAGTCGACTAAAGAGAATTCTCCAGCTTTACATCTTTAATGCTCGGCGCATTTTCTCTGCCGCAGCCGAGTGTTTTTTTTTTTTAATCCCGAGGATCTTCTGCCTTGAATGGAAAGGGCAGAGCGGGGCTGGGGAGCCTGCCCAGCCCTTGCAAATCAGCCAGGGCTTCTGTCAGCGCTGCCCGAGCCAGTTCATTGCAATTTTTTTTAATTATTCCTTGCTCCTCCAGCATCTCTTTTTGCACCTTTTCAAGGGGAACAGGAGCGTCAGGCTCAGCTGGGGCTGCCTCCATTCTCCGGGGCTCATTCATCATTGTCCCCTGCCTGAATGGGAGGCAGAGGGTCAGCCTGAAAAGCCCGAGCGCTACAAACCCCTCTAAATATCTCAATAGGTCCCTAATGGGGTCCCAGCCAGACCCCCCAGGCTCTGGGGGTGGTTTTGTGTCTGTAAAAGCCGGGAGAGGGGGGATGGAGACGTGGGGTGGCACAGGGCACCGCTGGGGACCTGCCTGGGAGGTCTGGGGGTGGTTTATTATGGCCAGAATTATTTAATCCGGTTATTTATTGAATTCGGTTATTTAATCCGGTTATTAAATACCCCGGAGCGAGCACAGGATGGGCCAAACGCGGTTTGGGGCAGCGCTGGAGCATCCCCCACACTTTTCCCTGCGCCCACCTCCCCTTCCCTTCCCCGCTCCATTCCCGGGAGGCCGCGGGGTTGGGAGGTGAACGAGACCCCCTCCTTGTCCCCCTCTGTCCCCTCCGGTCCCCCCGAGGTCCCCGCGGGCCCCTCGGCACCAGCGGCAGCCTCGCAATTCCCATGGCGGGGCTGGCGAGCACAAAAAGCGGCCGCACAAAGAGGGGAGGCCGGGACCCGCCGCAGCCTTTCAGAGCCGGGCGCTCATTAGAGGCTCTGCCCCGGTAATTCGGGAGCTCCAGAGGTGGCCCGATTGAATTTGTGAGACCCCAGAGGTGGCCCGATTGAATTCGGGAGCTGCAGAGGTGGCCCGATTAAATTTGTGAGCTCCAGAGGTGGCCCGATTAAATTTGGGAGCTGCAGAGGTGGCCCGATAGAATTTGGGAGCCCTCAGAGGTGGCCCGATAGAATTTGGGAGCTGCAGAGGTGGCCCGATAGAATCTGGGAGCCCTCAGAGGTGGCCCGGTTGAATTTGGGAGCTGCAGAGGTGGCCCAGTTGAATTTAGAAGCCCCCCAGAGGTGGCCCGATTGAATTTGGGAGCTCCAGAGGTGGCCTGATTAAATTTGGGAGCCCCCCAGAGGTGGCCCAGTTGAATTTAGAAGCCCCCCAGAGGTGGCCAGTTTCAATTTGGGAGCTCCAGAGGTGGCCCGGTTGAATTTAGAAGCCCCCCAGAGGTGGCCTGATAGAATTTGGGAGCCCTCAGAGGTGGCCCGATAGAATTTGGGAGCCCCCAGACAGGTACCCAGATGGCCGAGGAGGGCAGGAGGGAATTCAAGGCGATGTTTCGGCCTCTGTGCTGCAGCTGCGCCCCTTGGAAAGAGGGAAAAGGGCGGAAAAAAAGAGGGAAAAAGGGAAGGCGGGGATGTGGCATCGCCCCCCGGGCTCTGTCACCCATGCGGCTCCACCTGCTCCGCTTCCTGCTGGGAATTTGGGCTGCTCCGAACTCCTCCTGTGGGATTTGGAACTGTGGGATGGGGAAGGGCGGGTTCCCCCGAGCCTGAGGAGGCGACGATGCCCCAAAACCCATTTCGCCACTGGGATCCGATCCAGGCTCGCCCTGAGCACCAGCCCTGCCCCTTCTGGGGTAAAATCATCCGAAATCGGGGCAGGAGGTTTCATCCAGGGGAGCTTCCAGCCCTGGAGGTGCCCAAGGCTGGTCCCTCCCAACCCAAACCACCCCGGGATTCTGGGATTTGATGGAAAGCTCAAAATTGGAGCAGGGAGAGAACGAAGCTCTCCTGTCAAAGCATTTCTGGGAGGATTTGTTATTTATTTAAAACCCCCCCAGCCTTGCATTTGCATAATTACATTTTGAATTACATTTTGCAGCTGTTGGGCCGTGGCGTGGGCTGGGCTTTGGGGCATTATTTGTTAAAAAATGGACACGAGGAGGGAATTGGGGCCCAGCTGAGCCTTTTTGTGCCATGGGCCGGGGAAATCCCGGCGCTCCTCGGCTCCACGGGCACCGGGAGCTGCGATCCCGCTGTTCCCTGAGTGCCAGAGAGGGGAAAAGGGGAATGGGAAAGGGGGAATGGGAAAGGGGGAAAGGAAAAGG